GGTATTTTTCTGCTAAAATAACAATTACTTCTAAAGGATAGGATGAAGATTGTCATTTGTCTCCCTGTGGTGGTATAGTGTAGGAGACGGGCTGAAAAGCCCTCTCTTTCAGGAGGAGCAGCTCCTCCCGTCCTCTCTGGTGTTCGCTGCTGTCAATTCTCGCTCTGGCTCCGGTACAAGGGAGCCACAGCCACGTTCCACATTCCCCTATAGAGAATACCCTGTCCCCGACAGTGATGGTTTTTGGAGCCAGTTGCTGTCAAGCTGTCATGTCTTGACAGCTCTGTAGGAGGAACAAAAGGCCCATCAGACCGAAGATGATTTGTAAACAATGAAGAAGGAGTGTTTGCTACCCTGCCATGTCTGACAGTGTAAAAAGCCAGGCCACTGTTGCCTATGGTTGACACATAGAGAGCTAGCCTTTAAAGTGTCAGCTGCATTCTAAAGGTGCAAGAAAATGTTAAGAGCAGAACTTGGCTTCTCATTAACTCCCAGGGTTTTGCTGGCTCCTTAAGAAAATCAGTCGAACAACGCCCTTCTCATCAGGATTCTGCCTTCTGAAAAGGGACAGTAAAACCACAGCATTTCTTGCAAATTCAGGATGCTTATTAAAAAAAATAAAAATTAAAATCTATTCTAATTTATGTTCTCAGTGTTTTCAGTGTTTTTGACATCTTCAGCATTAAATCAGACAGAATATTGTAATTTTTCCCAGTAAGAATTTGGTTGCTGATTAATGTCTTTGGCAGAGAGTGGGCAAAAATTAATGCATTAGCAATGTAACAACGAAATCAAAGCAAATTAGAGTTGCATTATCTAAAATAAATGGTATTTTGTTAGTACTATGTAATGTTCTTTTAACTGATGACAATGATTTATTTCTGCTGAGATGAATGATGAAATTAATCAGTGAATTGCTGGATAGATGCTTTGTTAAATTAGTCTCATATTCAATTGAGAGTCTTAATTGCTTTCTGTGCTTATTTGTCATTGAATTTGCAGGATTGTGTGCAGGTTCCTTTCTTTACATGAATATGAACTGGAACATCTTCATTGATTATCAGTAGATTTTCATTGTTTTAAACCAGGGAAAATGAAACAATGGGACCTTTCTTTGTTTTTGTTTGGAGATGCCTTTTAAAAAAACCCTTATTTAATCCTTTTTGAACTTATTTGATAATTACTTTTTAAGGGAATTTACCCCACTTATTCCCAGTATGCAAGGTGGTTTTAGTTAACCATATTTGTGTATTCTACGGTAATGATTGCTTTAAAAAATGGGGATGAGTTGGTTTTTATTTTTACTTTTTCTCTATTCCACTAGGTAAACTGCTACTGTGCTATTTTTTTTCTAGTCCACCCACAAGACTCCAGCTGTTTGTTAAAATTTTATGAATGAAGAAAATAACAAATATGTTGACGATGAAAATAAGAGTTTCAGGAAGCTAATATTAATGAAAATGTGTTTGCTACAACTTTACAGCCCAAAGGCAGCATTTGTTAGGCCACCTTATAATTCTAAGGAGAAAAACAGCTGAGCTTTTCTGTGAGCATTTAGGATAGACGACAGCTGGATCCCCACAATGTGAGAACTTATATGCTGTTAGCTATGAGCAGACAGTTTGCCTAGCAAAGAGTTACACTGTGGGAGGTAAAGAAGGAAAGCATGAGGAGTTTTTTGTAAATCCTGTGAAACATATTTTGCTGGTAATAGAAACCTAGAAGCAAACTTGGGTTTACTATATAGTATTATCTCTAAATAGCATCATCATGTTAGAAGTCTAACACTTTTGATTGAAAATTGCCGCTTACTGAAATTACAAGGAATGCCCAAATCTGTTTTACAAATAAGTGCAACCGGTTTAGTTCTGGAGGAAGTTGTAACATTCTTCTAATCCTTCAACCCCAACATAGCATTCAAAAAATCTGAAGGCAGATCCCCCACACTATGAAGATAGCATAAGATCACTTGGTATGAAGAAACAAATCATTATTGGAGCCCACCTTTGATGCTTTTTTTACCCTTAAAAGGGTAAAATAACTCTAGGTTTAGATAATAAGTTAAATATTAAATTCAACCTTAAATCCACAGTACATATGCTGACAAGCCAGCTGTAGGAACAGCTAGAGGATGCATCTTAAAAGCCCAGGAGTGATGTGAAAAGCTGAGTAATTCTGCTGCATGTTAGGACTGGAGCTACTTTTAGGTAAACTCTGTTGCAATTTTTTTAAGCATTTTGCACTTCCAATTTTGGGCCGCCCAAAGGAAGGAATGAGCTGAATGCCCATGGGAGGAAGTCACAGAATGAAGCCCGCAGCATTTTAGCTTTGAAGAGCCTCTAAGTGCCTTTATCTGTGCTGGCTGTCCCATTAGCATCCTTTGGATGGGGGAGGGGAGGGAAGTGTGCCATCGCAGGAACATCCTGCACCAGAGAGGGAAAAGATAAATGGCTTTTGTAGGGAGAAAAAGGAGCAATATGTTTTGTAGTTGCTTGTGGACAGTACTTGAGTTTCACTTGTATGATCTGTGTATGAGCAGGCAGTTTGTTTGGATGAAGAGACTCGGGGCAGAGTTCATGAAGTGCCCCTGCAGTCCCAGCAATAATATAGATCTGTGATTTAAATGTTTGAAGAAAAATCATGGCCTTCTGGAAAAGGCATCCATTGAACATTTTAAGGTAAACACCGGCGTGTAGATTCTGTCTGATGTCTGTGCCATGTTGTGAACTCTACAGGGCTTCGCTGAGTGAGGCATAAGTGTCTGTGACCTCTTGTGGGTATGCTGGCTTTTCACAGAAAACTGCTTTCAGCCTCATTTTCCTCCAACGTCCACAGAGTGAGTGGATTTCTTTGCAGGTTAGACAGAGGGGCATCCACTGTGGTGATTTTATCTGCCTCTTTTACTTCCCTTTGGCTCCCCCAAATCACTCTGGCAGCCCTGATCTTGTTCTTTTGTTTCTTGGACTCTCTGGAGGACTAGAGTTTCAAAGCTTCACGTCACACCACGACAGAAACGAATGTATGCAAATGACAACGAATATTATTATCTTTGAACATAACAGGGTGTAAGCCTCCCTTGAAGGACAGCAGGTCATGTCAAGCAATCTCAAAGGCTGCTTGCAAGTCAGAGAATCTTGAAGCATTTAGTAGCTCCTAAATGTTTAGCTTGGGACATCTAAAGCCACTCAACACGTACTAAAGCCACAGAATTTATGGGACAGTGTCCACAACTCTTAAAAGTGAGGCTTAATAACTGCTGCCTTTGTCTGAGATTTGTCACAGTCTTGCCTTTGTATAACTAGCTCCCTTGGAAGGAGCTTTGATATATCTTGAATAAGAAAGGTACTGTTATTTATAAGATGTATCTCTTCTACACTTCCTCTGATTCCCATCCCCTCCCTCCCCCAGCCTTTACTGAGTATCTGAGCTCTCATTTGGCCAGGGTCACCTCAGAGATGAGGTGTCCTTTGAATCTCAAGATATGCTCCTAGCTCAATAACTGTGTATATTAAAAACTGTTCTTGACAAGGCAGATGCAGAACAAGAGTGCAGCTGCATACTCAGTATTGCACTGCCATGTTGTCACTGGGCTCCTAATGGTGGCTGGGCTTCAGGAAACTAAAATTTGTTTTTCTGCTTTAGCATGTCTTAATCCAGAGTTAGAAAAAATGCATTAATATTTTTCATTAGAAAGGAGGTTGTGGCTTTATACTGGCTGAATGGAACTTAGTTTGCTGAGAAAAGAAGATAAATAAATATGAAGAAGCAAGACAGCAGAGATAATTCCTAACAAATACAGTTTATGCTATAATGCGGGATCTGTTTCTGGACCATGTACACTATGACAGTGCTTGGCGAATACATGATGCAATGTCAGACATTGTTCTGTACATGTGAGTGAGGACAAGTGCTGCCATCATTCTACCCTCTCCTCCTGGAGAGGAGAACTGTTTTGTGGTGGTGCATCCTGTTGCTGTGGCATCTGCATTCTTGGAGACCTGTGTAGTAATTTCTATCTCTACTGCAAAGTCAGGTTTTGACAGGGTTGATACATAAAAAATCCCTATACATTTTTTTGCATTAAGAGAATATTAACTCTTATATTGTAAAAAAAATTCCATTCTGTAGCTAAATCGCACTGCTTTAAATTCACGTGTATTTTCACCACCTTTTTGTTTTTTATATGTTGGGCTGCACTATGTGCTGCTTAAATGACTGTCCTGACATCACTAAAAGTGAATGACTTGGGGCTAACAGGAACATGTCCCACCTGTAATTTTGGGATCCTCTGGAATGAAGACAGCTACACAGATCTAATTTATTACTGCATAGGCTAGTGTGACAATTTGACCTTGTTCTTTTATGCCCTGCTAAGCAGCTACAAGAGTTCCTTAGTTAAAATGGTCTCTTTCTAATTTTAATTTATCCTGTGTCTGGGCAGCTGAGCGTTTAAGGAGTTGCTGTCAAGCTCTAAATATCTTTGCCTAAGGCTTCACAGTGACCTATCCCAGCAAAACAATCACAGAGAGAGCCAGGGTGACCCCAGATTCCCAGTGCCTGTCTGTCAACACCTTGTTCCCTGTTCCTTGCTTCCTTTCTTTCCCAGTGCTTTTTATATATCAGCTCAGGAAGGTCACTTTCCTGGAACCTTTTTTTATTTTTTCCTGTTTTCTTATTTCTCCTGTGTCCTTGCAGCTTGGCTAGAAGGCTCCCTCTGCGTGGCTTGGTCAGTATCTAACTCTTGACCTTAGGCAGTTTTGGTTTAGCAGAAATGTTATTTTCTGTATCCCGTCTGTTGTGTCCTGCTTTAGGGAGTGGGGATAAGACCTGTCCTACATCTACTTACCAGCTAATTTCTGTACTTTGTTTTTTCCCTAGCTCCTAATTCTCCCTTTTCTTTCCTCACTTTGAGCCCTGCCAGCTCCCCGGCTTCTCCAGGAGCAGCTGCTACAAAGATATGTGTGTTCTCTGTCAAACTGGTCCTTGTTTTGTGTTGCTAGGCTACTCCCTTCCAGCTGCCACTGAAGAAATGCTCTGTGGTGGGAAATGGTGGGATCCTGAAAAAGAGCGGCTGCGGAAAACAAATAGATCAAGCAGATTTTGTGATGCGGTAAGACAGAAACCTGAATGACACATTGTCTCCCTTTCCCCCTGTTAAATCTTGGACTTTTCAAAGCTATTCAGTTGTGATTAATGAGTTATAATTTGCTTTGTTTCCCCGCCCCCTTTGCAGGATGCTTTACACAAGTGATTTGGATCAAAGTGTGAGGGGAGGCAAAAAAGAGAGTTTTGACTGGCTTCTGTAAATGGGTTTGTAGAGTGGGGGGACTGTCTGCATATGTGTGGGTTCAGGTTGTGGCAGATTGTGCAGTGTCACAGATACTGAGGAGCTGCTATTCTCTTTTAATTATGCAGCATTAAGCAGGGTCTCATCCTGCCACTCATCCTGTTCTCTGTCTTCTGCAACTCTAAATGCCATCATATGCATTAGTAGGTACTGAATTATAGGGAAAAGCTTAAAGACATGAGCTGGAACAAGCTCAAATCTCCCTATGTTTTTCTTCCCTCAAGATTGATTTCTGGATGGCTGATTGATGAAAGGCCAAACCTTTTCTCCTTTCCTTGATGCAGAGTTTTTGGAATTCCTCACATTTCCTTTCCCTCCAGCCTTCCTAAAGTTATAAGAACCTGTCAGGAGGGATGCTGAAGCAGCTGCTGCTTTCGTGATTGAATTTGGCACCTTCTATGTCTGCATTCTGTAAGGAAGAAAGACAGAAATTAGTTCTTCCCTGTTAAACATGAACAAGGGAGAAACTGGAGGAGTGCTCCCAAAGAGATTGCAAAATGTGGTTTCTTTAGGATTTGGGAGGGTTACATAATGAACACCCACTTTAGTGGGTCTCCTTGTGAGATCCCAATGGCTTATTGTAAAGCCATACAAATTTTCTGCAAACCAAACAGTATTATTGTGATTTCAGGTTTGCAACTCAAAGATGCAAAATGCCTTCAGTGTTAAAGCAAAGGAATACAACAAACTAAAGGCAAAAGGAAATGGAGCATACTTGGAGCATTTACAGAAGAGAAGATGTAAGGCACAGGGAGAGAGAGGCAGTGTGCTGATTGCCATTACTGCAAAACTCCTTGGGTGTTCCACAAACTAAATATAAGAAACTGCAGGGTATATACCATGGTAATATTATCTAGATGCAATGGAAAATTGGAATGCTGCAGGAGCAATCAGTTACAAAAACAATAGAAACTTTTTTGTTTAGAAAAACTTAAACAAACCCATCAGTTGTTGCAGCTTGATCAGAAAAATCTTTTTCTTTCCAGGCAGGGTAGAGCAACCATTACCTGTGCAGAACTTATTTTGAATTGGAAATAACTGATAGGGAGGATCCTGCAAAAATCCCAGTAGCTGCCTTCAGGCTGTATAGTATCAGTGATGTGCGGTCATATTTATGAAAAATGTTTCAGTTCTTTTGGGTCACAACTAAGGCACTACTGGGAGAAAGTATTTTTGTAGCAGGTGGAAGACAGGATTTAGTTGATCTTTTCTAAAGCTGATTTTGATAATCTGAGAGCTGAGAAAGAGCACAGCAGTAACTTGCATAACATCTTTCATTAAAAAAAAGAAGAAATTTGTGTAACATCTTGAAAATATTTCTGCAGTGCGAAATGTCATGCCAGGTATTGTCCTTGTTCTTTCCTTCAGTTCACGTGGTTTTGTGATTTCACTTGAGTGTACTTCCATAAGCTTTGTCATATGACTGCAGCCATCGTCTCTGATCTATTGTCATCACCAGGATTAATTAATGAGTTTGAACTCATCTTGTTGCTGGGAATTTTCTACAAATTCAGTTGTACCAACAGAGAGATTAAAAGAGCAGCAGTTTTCAGGCCCTAAGGCTGAGCATACTGCATCTGCAATGAAAAAGGTGCATTGCATTTGGTCTATGTGTTTAGGTAGCGTGGTTATAATAGGCTATTCTGACATTTGGCTAGTTTTCAAGTTAGTAAACTTTATTTCTAAGTAAATAAATTTATTTTTCCCCTCCCTTCATGCTAATGATTATTTTGAGAGAGAAATGTTGGGTACTAAACCCTAAGCAATGTTTTTGTCTGTATTTTGACAGAAGAGCCACATTTTTCTTGTCATTAGATTTTGAAGAACTGTTTCTACATCTCACAGTTCTCCCTTTCCTCCAACTGCTTTCCATGGCTCTGCTGCTGTTTGCTTGTCTCCCAGAGAGGTGGAGAGGAGTCATTTTGGGGTTTGTAGACAAGTAAACATGGTCTTCAGCTGCCTTATGCAGTTACTGTCTTGACGTTGGCCAAGGTGTCACAGAGGAAAATAAAATGAGTGTTTGCAATTACATATTAAATTTGTATTAGTCCCTAGTGTTTAGTATATGATAACATTCAAAAATAGTCACGCAGCAGCTACCAAGCTCACATGCATCAGCCAAGTTGCCTAGATTCTCTGCACCTGTGGGGAAATAGGCTTCTGTCTGAACCAAACCGAGAAGAGCCATTTCTGCGTGGTGGGGGTCAAAGCATACCTTTCATTTTACCGTTGCAGCTGTTCCTACCTATATGAGTTGGAAGGTCTCAGATGTGAAAAAGACAGTGTCACTCTGCCTCTGGATTACTTTTTTTCCCCACTTGAAGGCTGTGTCTAAGTCATATTGTTCTTCTGTATGGCAGACCAATACGTTCCAGTCTTCCGTTTAGGCTTGTGTTAAAAATGCTGGCCTGAAATGCCTGATGCTTCCTTCTTTTCTGTATGTTCACATGCTTACTCCTGAGTACCAGATGCAAGAGTAAGATAACAAAAAAGGAATTTCTTAGGATGAGTCTTTTGTTTCTTGGTGTGTTCCTCACCTGCACAACACTCGGCACTCTGCTGACCTGTTCAGGAAAACAATCTAAAGATTGCAGAAGTTTCTGTCAACCGATTGATTCCTTGCAGTTTCCTCTGGATACTCAGGCCATTTGTTAATATTTCATGCAGACAAGGTGGGAATGAGACTTACTGATGAAAGGAATTAGATATGTTTAAATAATGCATCTGAGATTGGCCTGTGAAAGAAATTTAATTATTGAGATGTTAGGTAATAAGAACTAGGGAGAATTCTTGGTCCCTCACAGTGCTTTCAAATACACTTCAACTAAAATTGGCTTCTTACAAGCTTGCCTATGAGTTTGTGTTTATCAAATCAGAAGGCATTATACTGTAATCTGCCAGAGGTCATTTATATGATCTTTGTCCTCTGATGCATAACACTTATATAGCTTGCTTCACAAATATTTGTTTGACCTGCCATTGATAACTGCTGCTGAGAGAGTTTCTACAACCTCTTCAAATAGTATTAATTGTATTAAATTAATTTGTATGCTACCCAGTGCAGGTGCAGGGAGCAACTTATTGTTTTTATTTTATTTTATTCAAACCTTTCTTGATTTTTAATGTTTTATCATTCTTTTTGTCCAGGAATTAAATTTCCCTTGTGGTTCTAGCCTTTCTTGCCCCCTTTTTTTTCCCCCTTATCAAAGTTTGCATTTTCTGAGGCCTCTTATTTGGATTCCTGTTTTCTGGCTTCTTTTTAAGTTATCTAGCTTCTCTTAAGTTGTGGTAAATCAAACCAGAAGCTGCTTCCTAAGTGAAATCTCATCACATTGTGCACATCTTAACCAATGTAGTCATGTGAAGAAGAAAATATTCCTGGAAATGTTAAATTTTTCTTGTTGAATACGTTTGAATCCATCTATGTTCCGCATAGGTGGGGCTTTGTTGTCCTTCTCCTTGGCATTTCCTGATGAGAATTTAAGAATATGGTTTTGAGAGCTGGCATTTGTATGCAAATACATGCAGATGTAGCATGACAGTGTTTTTTTCTTTAGGGATTCTGGATGTTTTGCATTAACAAAAATAGCAGAGTACTCTGTGTGCACACTAGTGCCCTCTCCCTTGGATGCTGCACAAAACCAAAACACATGAAAGTGCAGCCAACACTTTGCAGCCTCGCTTGCTGAGTAGATTTCTCCTGACCGTAATTTACGGAGCAGTGCACAGACTTGGGTACTGTTTGAATGCATTTTCATCTTTATCTGCTGCACTTTCCTCCTTTTCCTAGGCCTTTACTACAGTGTATTTAGGAATTCATTGTCTCAAGGTTTCTCTCTACTTCTATTTTTTTGAGTCTTGGCTGTGCTTTCCAAAGTAAATTTGCTCAGTCACTTTTTCTTTATTACATTATCACCCTACCTGCCAGAGTAAGACTGTGAGATGCACATATTTAAATAGCCACTTAATTGTTTTCTCTGTGTTTTCTTGGTAATTTCTGTATGCTGTGTATTACCCCACAGTCTAATATTAAAAATGCCAGTTGCCTGTTGTTTGCAAGATGTGTAATCTTAAAATAACACAGAGTGGTAATAGTCTGGAGCCTGATACTGGTAAATAACACAGAATAGAGTGAAAAACAGAACTTTAAAATAATTTTTTGGTTAAAAAAGTCTTTTCTGTAGATAAAAATGGCTTCTTCTACAGCCTTTCAGCCTATCAGAAATGCCAAGTTTGTGTCTTTGCTTGGTAGTTACATAATGTTGTCTCTGCAAAAGGTATTATTTCTGCATTTCCTAACAATCTAGTACAAAATTGACCTATTGTGCTTATAGTTGTGAAACAGTAGGGAGCACCTGTAGTGTAGTCTCATATTTATACAGCACTTTCATGTTTTCTGACAGCCTGCTTTCTTTAATAAAAAACAACAACCCCACACCTGCAAACTTGCAGATTAAAAAAGACTGAGGCTGAAGCACGTCAATCCTGAATGCCATTTAAAATCTTGACTGTCTTTCTGTGCACAGGTGTAACCTTCCTCCTCTATCCAGTGAATACAGCAAGGACGTTGGATCGAAAACACAGCTGGTGACTGCAAATCCCAGTATAATTCAGAAAAGGTAGAGAGCATGTTTTTCCTTCTCCGATCAGGGAAACAAAAAGAAAAATGCTTCATCTGTGTTATGGGTATTAGTGCATCAGAGTTGTGTTCTTAATGATCTTCTGGACCTGGAAAAGGATCTATAAACTATGGCATAGGCAGTACTTTGGCATTAGGTGAAATAATACAAGACTAACCCCTGATCCTTTCACTGTAAGCAGGGAAACTTAGGGAAGCTGGCTTTTACAGAGTTATTTTGATTACCAGACTCCCCTCAGTACTTCCAGCTCCCTCCCTTTACTGTGCACTGGTCATGTGCCAGAGGTGCTTTGGCTGCTTCCAAGCTAAGCATGTACTGATGAGTGGCCCAAACTACTCTGCAGGTCAGGTCAGTTGGCTACTGCATCCCACAGCAAACGAAGATATTAATTTGGGTTTCTCTTTGCTTCACCACTGATAACTTCAGGGTCCTTGCTGTCTTTGTATTGTTTGATACTGACTTATGGGTACAGAAGTGTCTAGGGTGGAACTGATCAACAGGTTGTTATCTTACAAGCCTTACTTTCCTGAGAAACTGGGACAAAATTTTGTTATGCGAGTTGGTTGGAATTTTCCAAATGTCAGTAGCTGATAAGAAAATGGAAGGGGAGGGGAAGGGGAGTCAATGTCATCTCTCTGATTTTGCCTTCTTGAATTTTAATTGCTATGTTATTTGTGTATCACCCAGAATGACGTAGGCTGTTCTCAGTCAGAACAAGATCTGGTAGTAACCTGCCATGTTCACTGAAAAGCACAGAGGGAAAAAAGGCATAAACTGAGGGGATGAACAGAAAATTCATAAAGGCATAAATAAATGTATAATGCAGGTACTGGGAGGTGAAGGATTGTGAAAAGAAGCAAAGCAGGGAAATAAAATGAATAATAAAAAGCCAGGTGTTTTAAAAAGAAGAAAGGCACAGACTTGGAAATGGATGTTTGATGGTATTTAAATGTAATATATTTCCTCTCTATCATGAATTGAAGGGTTCTCTAGTTCTGTGTGTGATAAAGATGACAGTCTTGGGCAGAGTAGAAAAGAGAGGGTGAGCAAGAGCGAAATGGAGTAGTAATCAGCTTCAAGAGCTGATTCCAGGCAGAGAGTGTCTGAACAGGAGAAGGGAGAGAAGTGCTTGTGGGATGAGATCAAAGCAAACCAAGCAGAATTGGCAGAGGATGACACCAGGTGCCAGGCAAGAAAGAGCTGCTCAGGGCCTGAAGATGGGGAATCTGAAAATACTGTAGGATGTAGATGGCTAATGAGGCTGATTTAAAAAGTGTTATTTGTTGTCCAGAACACCCCATCAAGGAAAGCAGATCAGTTTGGCCATGGCATTTTGAATAAAATGGAGCAGTGTGAAACATGAAGCTTCCAAAGTACTTTGCAGCTGTCAAGGCAAAGGGTTGTTAAATTCATGGATATCTATTTTGCACACACCCCTCAACAAGGCCTAGCATGGAACGCTCACTGTACTTACTATTTTTGAATAGAAGAGGAAAAGAGTTTTTAGGGATATTGCAGGGAGACTGAGAAGTTACGCTAAAGAGACTGTGGAGTTATCCAGAAAGAAGGAAGGGAAGGAGTGAGCAGATGGTTGAAGAAGCAGATGGAGAGACCGAGATGCTATTTTGTGAGAAGGGGATATCACAAGGAGGAGTTGCGAGGGGTGCGGGGAAATGGGAAAATAGATAGGGAGGAAGGGATAGATGAAGGAAACGGGATTGTGGGCAATGTCAGCTTTCAAAGTGAGTGGACGATAAATGGGATGCAAGACCTTTGAGAAAGTAATGTGGGATGTATATGGCTATGTATTGATTAGGAGGAGATCTACAGCCAGTGACTGAGAAAGACGCAGACAAAAATTCATACTGCTGAAAATTGGCAGAAGCCTCTTCTGAGGCTTGGAGCTCTTGAGAGATCTGACACTTTGCTTCCTCTGCCTTGTCAGGAAGAATTTTAGGGTTGTTTTTTTTTAAGATAATATTTTACTGAGGTTTCCTGTATGCTGTCCAAACTCATTATTTTACCTCCTGTGTGTTAAGTTAGAGTTGGAAAAAAAAGGTTAAATCTTGGAAATTAAAATAGAAAAAAAGACTGCTACTCTGTAAACAAATAATCAATTTCTATGGAAAGAAGCTTTTTAAGGAATTAAGCTTGCTCTTAGGACCAGACTTCCATGTAATTCAAGGACATTTAGATTAGTGACTGATATTTATCTCTTTCTATGCTATAAGTTAACTAGCTTCACATAATGTTATTATTCATTATCATTCTTCCCCTCTCCCCTTGTCCTTACTTTGAGTAGATTGATATTGATGGGGCTTGACATCTCAATTATCTCTCAAGTGTGTTAAGGCAGATTTAGTGAATTGGTTCTGCAACATCATTCATGGCTTCTAAAAGATTTATCCTTACCAGATAATTGATGATGAGGCATGTTGGATAGGGCAAAGTTTTCATACCAGGGATGTGAAGACAGTTTTCTGTGTTGTTTTAAACCCAGAATTATTGCCTTTAGAAAACAAAATTGTTGGTGGTAATTACTGCAGAGTGATATCTGAGCTACCACCGTTTCCCTCTAGGTTTACAGCCGTAGGATGGGAGACTCAAGATTTTCATCTCGGAGTACATTGACTTTAGAGATAACTTCTAAACACTGCTTTTTGCAGAACATAGAGATCAAGTTCTTACTTTGTTTTAAGCAGGAAATGTGACACTGCAGGTAGTACAACTTTCACTTGTAAAATACTGTGCTCAGATGTCATTTGGGTTCGAAAAATGATGAGGAATTTCCTACGGTACTTTGCTTCATATAATACAGGAGTAATGAAAATTAATGTGTTATGATAGAAATTTCCGTGGCTGACCAGGAGGATGCATGATGACTGCCCCAGCTGTTTTTCGTTTTGTTTTTTTTTTTTGTCTAAAATATTTCATGGACATCTCCCATCAGTTGCTGTTGGAACTCACTCAGTCCTCTGAGCTGGTGTAAAACTCATTTTTTTCACTTTGCATTCAAAACTTACTTCTCTGTCAATCCCTGGTTTGAGATTGCAGTTGGGATTGAAATGCTGCATAAAGCTATTCCTGGGGCTGCTGTGACCTCTCCCACACTCTACCCCTCAACACTGTTGAGGGACTGCAAAAAGCTTCCTATCTTTGATGTTTCTGGTTCATCCCCCTACCACCCTAGTCAGCTTGGCCTTATCTGTATGGAACCACTTTGTAGGCAGAAGGTTATTCTCTGCTTGTTCTGGGTTTTATTTTCTTTGTGATGTGCCTACAGCCATTCTTAGGCTCTGGGAAAAATCAGCAAGGTTATGCCATTTGCAGTGATTGTTTCTACATTCTGAACACGTCTATAACTATGGAGTGGGACTAGTCAGTGGATTACACATGAATATACAAATAATTAGGTAGTGATTATTTTTGACCAACGGCATAAGATTTTTGACTAAGAAATTTAAAGAGTTACTATTTGGGATGCAGATATTATGTGTTTCTGAAGTCACTGGCTCTCGGCTGTTTCAGAGAAGCAAATTCTAGCAATTTCTTACCATCTTCAGGAGCTTTTGCAAATGTCATATGATAATACTCTTTTCTCTAAACTTTTAATTAAATCTGTAAATAAATGCCATTTGCAGCAATCTTTCTTTCCAGTTGCCATTTGTCCTTACTCAGTCTAATCCATGCACATATATATCGCCATTAATGCAGATATAATAGTCCAAATAGTTGGTTTTCCAGCATTCAGCAAGTTTCCAATTGACTGATGTCTGTTGGTATTCTATTCATTAGCTGTGTAGGTGTTTCTGAAAGGTGTAGAAGTAATGTTATTAGAAAATGGCATGATGCCTATGGTAGCTTTCCTTATTCCCCATAATTCAGCATCAGTATTACTGATAGAAGCCCCTAAGGTCTGTAACACGCACTTCCCAACACTGTCTTTGAGATGTAATCTGATAATTGCTTGAGTTGTGTGAAATTTTTCCCACTTCTCCTTTCAGGGTGCTGTATTTTCTCAGCACTGATGGTGCTGGAAGGAAGGCATGTTGTACTTTGGGGAGAGCGTAAATTCACTTGAATGAAGGCCAGGTCATCCGTGTATGTGTTTAGGGCTTTGGAAGTTACTTTAATTAGACTAATTATGAACATATCTGTGAAATACCTGTGCTGTTATGGACAGGGTGGAGGTGTAGTTGATCCATATTTTTGCTACCATGGCGTTTCTACTAGAGCATGCCCTGTTGCTTTGAATATAGAAATAAGTAAAGATTAGCTGAGGTGGATGTGGAGATGTGGATATTTTTATTTAATTTTTTATAGTAGAGTCTCTCAAAGTTGTATAACATTGCCAATGGAAATAGCATAACTGAAAATTAACCAGATTTAGAATCAGTCATTACACTTTGCAGCTCAGCATGAACTTCCATCACTGAATGTGAACCTTTTTTTTTTTTGGTATATTAGTTTGCTTTTTTGATTTCTGCAATATTTGGCTAGTTTTTGCTGCATCACATTTCCTGCACTAAAGCAATATGAAGGAATGAGTCTAAAGTCTAACAAATGCAATGATTCTGCTTCTGAGCTTTGAAATGTCAGTTAAATATTGCTGCTGTTTATTAGGTTCCCATGAAATTTGAGTGGGATTAAATTTGCTTTCCAGTTCTTCTTGCATCTTGGAGACAGGTCCTGAAGAAATCTTTGAATCCAGTTGATTTAAGCTGTTAAGAATAAAAAGATGGAACTGAGGCAATTATTTAATTTGATAAAATCTTCCTTAATATTTGATTAAACAAATATACAATATTAAGCTGGTTGTTCACACTCATGAAAATGAGTGGTACATGAGATTTCCTTATGATTATGTCTCCAAGTAAAAAGTCCATTCCTAGGTAGTTCCATTTTAATTTGGTACAAAAGATAGAAAAAGAAAGAAAGAAAAAAACTCCCAAAACCCAAAAAACAAAACCAAGTCACCC